GTAAAGTGGTTTCTAAGAAATTTATAGTTTTATTGTCTATCTCAACCGTGTGAACTGTGTTACATGCAGTGATCAAATATCAATATTTGATTACTGCACGAATTTCGGTTTTTTTCATTATTTTTAAAACTCAAAAGTTGACTTATTCAAATGACTGTAACTCACAAACTATTCGGTGAAATGTCATAAAATTTTGACAGCAGAAGTTTGAAGGAATATATTCGACCGCTATAAGATTAATTTTTGTATATGGTGCCATCTTGTATCCAATTCCGAAAATTTTTCAGCCTATGTAGTATATCAGAAAACCATTTTTTTTAATTAGAGTGATATTGATCGATGATAAACTACCAGTATTATCTCAGTCTAATGCGGTTTACAAAATTAATTGTAAAGATTGCGATACGTCATACGTTGGATAAACTGGCAGATTGCTTAAAGTCAGAATATCTGAACACAGAAATCATATTAATAGAAACATAACACAACCTTCATTACTGAACACAGGATTAATTCTATACGTGATTTTGACTGGGAGAATATAAAAATGCGAGATAAAGAAAAGATCTTTAAAAAAAGGCTTATCTCTGAAATGATACACGTAAATAGACAAGAACACAGTCTTATTAACTTACAGAGTGATACGGATCTATTAGATCTGCTATATTGTGACATTTTTAATAAGTCTTGATGCTTCTTTACTTTCTTATATTGACATGTTTTAACATCTCGTAATAACAGCGTTACGGCCTTACGGACTCTCACAAGTTCAATACTCTTCGAACAGTATACATATCGATCGATTATCGATATCATCTATGTCTGTCAGATGGTCATTGTTATCGCAATATCTTTTATATGTAAGTTATTTTACTTTAATTCTTTTTTGTTCTTAAATTCCGTTTTTCATCTTATTATCAATTTTAGTTAACTTCACTGCTTAAGTGTTTTTCCAAACACTTAATAAGTGATCTTTAATTATATTCGGACCAGATGACAATTTGACTATCACACGGTTAATTCTCACATTCTAATGGATTATGCGTGCTGAATTTTCATGATTCTTGTACTGAAGATAACTCGAATAAGAGTCGAAACGTTTGCGATTGCGTTTTAAATTTGTCAATTAACTAATATATATTTTATTTATACACACTAACACTCAGTGTCAGCTTTTATTGGTTTTTTTTACGTTCTTAGATAAAAGTTGTAGGACTTAAAAAAAATCTATCTAATGATTTTATCAGTTTGACCTTGGGTGGCATCATTAAGTTCAGGTCAAAATCCCATAGATTTTTTAAAAAACCTTATTTTTGGTTTCAGAATATAATAGCTGGTGTCAAGAGCTTTTCAAAGCACTATAATAGAATACTTCTTAGTTAAGTAAATCTCGAGTTATAATTAAAGCTTGAAAGTTGCAGTATCATCGGAATTAGCATTATCCAAGATGTCCGAACAATGGCTAAAATTTTTTGAACGTTGTTTAGAATCATAATTTTGACATCATGTGTCAAGATCAAAGTTATTAAAGATTGTTACTCTTATTTTTGTTTTTGAAAATTATTTTTATTTTTTAAAAGAAAAGAGTAACAACCTTCAATAGTCATGACCTTGACATATATTATGATTCTGAACAACATTCTAAACAAATAGATGTGGAACATCTGCGAAAACGAATACAGCTTTGTCTTCCTTTTTCACAAAGTAATGGAAAAATTGTTGGGATTGATATCCAATTTCTTCCAGACTCCTCGATTACCCATGTTAGAAACTATGACGACTTGATAACCAGCATTGTGATCAGAGTGTTATGGCCTCTAATAGAATACACTTGTTCATAGGCTGATTAAATTTATAATAAATCGGTTGTTTCTAATTGCTAAACAAACTACAAACCATGGTGACCTGTACTTTTCCATGTGGACCAACCAATCTTTTGAGTTTAGCATCGAAATTTATTCCCAAAAGATGGCTATTTCGTCGAAACAGAAAACAGCAAGTTTCTCTACCGATGAAATTTTCTTGCCTTTCTTTCGCATTACAACTAGAACGTCAGTTAAGTATCCTTCTTCGATATTAAATTTTTTTAATACCCATCTTCTTAAATAGACTATAACGATGGTAAAGGGTAATGCAATTTCGTTCGAAAATGGCGGTAAGCTTTAGGACTTACATTCCGTAAAGAAATTACTGCAGCGTAGTCATCAATAGACCATTGAATCCATTTTTTTCTGCAAAATGCATCGTATTTGCTCTTCTGTGAAGTAAAATTATAATAGTTCTTTGACATATTCTTTTCTTTCGTCTTCGGTAGTCTTCTTTTCCGAAATAGTAATCACCAAAAATTTTTTAGATAAAACTATCTTATTTGTACAAAATAAGAAATTATTTATTTTTACGTATACGTGTTTTTTTATTTTTGTTTATATCCTATTATATCTAAAGCTTATCAAAATCGGAAAATGACATTTAATTGTATTTCCTTGTAAGATAGATATCTAGCTTATTGATATTTCTTTGTTCTAGTTGATAGTATGACTGTTTTGAGTAATTCAGTAGTTTTTATATTTGAAAAGAAATGATTACATTTTATTTACTGTATATAATATTAACGTCGTGTTTCTTTAGAATTTTTTATGTTTACTATATATGATGCATTTAAAGTCATGTATTTTTAGCATTTTTTGTGTTTACTTTATATAATATATTATTGTACTATTTCTTTTTATTATATGTAACATATGCTTCCAAATCATTGACTTTGATATTTATTTAAATAAATTCTATGTTGCTGTTGGTTTCCGACGTTAAAAATATAAAAAGTACGCTTGCAGTGTACCATATGCTGGTTTTAAACGATAATGTGTTTTATAATTATTGGTGTAAGAGGTATATGAAATATATAACCGGTTCTCTTTGTTGTACGAATATTTAAAGCTTTATGACATATGACTGTCAGGAAAACTACTTGAGTAGTTAACCCTAGACTATCACACCTGGATAAAATTTACCCGGACCATTTTTGAAGTGCGTGCTATTCCGACAGGATTGAAAAAGTGGGGTCGCAATGTGGGGGGGGGGAGGAACTTACAAGTGTCCTCTACAACCTTTCATCATAAGTCACGTCATTTCACTTGGTACTGCCATTCCAGCCACACGTAAAGTTCGACAATCGGTCTAGTTCACTCGGTCAAATAAATGTTTTTTAAAGTGAAGCCATATGAGGTATTTTTCTTATGAAAATACCACTCATGTTCTTTTAGAAACTATGCTTTACTTTTTTTATTTGCCTCTGAAAAGAATTGCGATGTCAAAGAAAAATCAGCCTTATTCGGAAAAGATATAAAAGCTGATTTACATTTTTGCAAATTGTTCATTTCCTTAAGATCTTTGAGTGTTACTATCCATTCAGTCACCTTTCTTACTGTCTGGAGTATAGATTAAAAAAAAAAGTTCTAAATCGATGCGTTTGAACCGAAGTTACGCAACAAAATAGGTAGGCCGAATAAATTTTACCCAGTGTGGTAGATTTGAGTGGCAAATAAGGTGTTATAGTTTAGGGTTAATAATCTTAATAATACCTTCAATTCCAAAACAATAATTATAATCGGTACTAACAATATTTTTTATTTTAATTGCTACAAATAATTTTTTATGTTTATTTCTCTTTGTGTAATATAGATATATTGCAAAGAAAGCTGCCCACAACACCAAGTAAACACATGATTGTCACGAGAAGGTCAAGTTGATGTCATCTTGATCTTCTCGTGACAATTGTGTATTACTTGAGTATTTATATTTCTTGTTCCAATTTACGGTAAACATATTTTCGTGTTTCTAAAGAAGGTTAGATAACATCATTGAGAACAGATATAGAGATATCATTCAATGCCATTATGTTTTTACGAATGGATTTTGATTACGATGAAGTATCGTTTGTGGCGATGTACGAGATAACGAGTGATGTATTTAAATATGCATCTCACATACTGTGCGTGATTGATCAAACGGTGATAGCATAATTGTACAAATTCGCGTGTAAATGATGCATTTCATTTGAATAAATATTTAAATAAAAAGCAGATTCATACGCAGCGTGTGCGGATTAAATGAAATCTATGAAAAACGTAATTAACGTTCATCGAATGAAAGCTGACGACAACGAGTCAGAGTTTATCGCGCTGAGTATCGCAGTATGCATAACATACTTGATATTTCTAATATTGCTTTTTGCACTCTAAAATTGCATCTATTGATGAAAACTTGTAAGCAAAACTAGCAGTTGTCGTTGAGCCGTTGTATCAATCATCTCATGATACGAATATCGGGAATCCTTAAGTAAGGCTAATATTCATTTAATCGATATTATAGCTGATTCTAATTAATAACAAATTTTTTATGTTAGAAAGATTTACTTTGAACTAGATTTTATATATGAAATTCCATGCATTAAAATATTTTATAATATATATTATATAAATAAAACACGATTTTAAAAGATAGGAAATAAGAGCCATTGAATTATTGGCACAAACCTCAGTGACAAAAATTATAAAGAATTTGAATTCTGAATTCTTACGAATGACGGTAATTTCATATCGTCCTTCGTATATCGTGCACGTTCTGCGCATATAAGAATTACAGTATGAGTGACGTAACGTAACACGGTTGTGATAACTACATTATATAAGGTGTTTAAGAAAAATGTATATCAATGAATCTTTAAACAATATTTGTTTTTTTTATACAAAATAATTAATTGCAGCCAAAAGTATGTTTAAATTTAGAAAAATAATTAAAAACTCATACAATTCACAATTAATTTATATAACAATTTCTTCAAAAACGATTTAATTAAGTATTTTATAATAATAAATTTAAATCAGATTTTAAACAGAAATTATTTTTCTAGCGAAAAATTTAACAATTTTTTCGAGTAAATTAATTTTAGGATAATACGTATTTTTAAGACACCTTGTATAAGTCCGAGAATCATTCGTAAACCGGTCGGGCCTAACGAGACCCATTTCGTCTGCGCCAGTCAGTCAATAAACATAGAGGTTTCTATCAGTAGGCAAACTCACCGTTGTGCATGTGAGGAAGTAGTGCTAAACGGTTCAATCGAATTTCTATGTCTAATAAATCTACTTTCAATTAAACACCGACTATAAAAATGTAAAAAAATTTTCAGATTTCTTCAGAACAGAGCCATGTCCACAAACGTGCGAGGAGTTGTACTGTCTGGAGTCGAATTGGCCAAGTGAGTGACGTTAATTTATTTCCCACAAGTAATCAGTTTTCAAAAGAAATAAACGTTCGTTTGTTCACGAGTGATCAATCGCTACAACGACACAGTCACTTGAAACAATGACACAGCAATTTAACAAAGATATATCATGAAAAAAATATTGACACTATGTTGATAAATGTAAAATATTGACATAATGTTGATAAAATAAAATATTAATCATTTACAAAGGTTACCGATCAAAATATAAAAACATATGAGAATAATGTACTAAATATATAAATAGAATGTTTTGAATCGAATAATACATATAGTACGTGTCACATGTTTTTATGAGGTTATGGCACTTTAAATATGCGAAAACATGTGTTTCCATAATGAATTAAATATATAAAAACAAAAATAGTAAAGTAACGAATTTAATATAAGTATTGAAATTTCATGACAATTTTTCGTTATTGTCTACAATATTATTTACAATATTATTATAAGTATCTATAGAAATTGCCCGCGAAATTCAAATGTCTATGGCTAAAGCTTTAAATTATGCAAGCATATTTTTATGCAATAAATAATCGTAGACAGTCCAATTATAAAAATATAGCTAATTTAAAATAAATTCTTCGCAAAATAAATAATAAACATGTAAGAACCTTTACAAATTATTAAATTTTATTGTAGAATCTAAAACAATTGTAGAAACAAATTTTTTTTCTTTTTTTTTTTTTTTACAAAAATAGGCAATTTATGCGAATATATTTTGGCGTATCTGACAAACACGCATAATAAAATTTTATAGAGAAATCCGAGAGGGCCTAATCAGAGATGTGAACGTCTTAAAAGAGAAATTACCTGATTTCGCACCTGGCCTGGCTATCGTTCAGGTAGGCGCGAGGGAAGATTCGAACGTTTACATAAAGATGAAAATCAACGCGGCCCGCGAAATAGGTATCAATGTTCAACGTTGTCAGCTTCCTAATACCACAACGGAAGTAGAGCTCATCAACAAAGTTTGCAAACTGAATAATGATCCAAATGTTCATGGAATTATTGTGCAAATGCCACTTGATAGTGTCAATAAAATCAATTCTCATCTAATCACCGACCTAGTATCTCCAGATAAAGATGTCGATGGGTAAGTAATAATTACTATTTAAAATATTATTTTTTATCTATATCATATCTCTGTAAGACCTTCCCATTTGAAAATTTTCTTTTATTTTAATAGTAAAAATGAAAAAAGGTTAATCAAAAATTTGCATACAAATACACGACTATTTGAGGTACATTTTGTAGTTTATAATTAAAATATGACATTAAAAATTTATTATTATAAAATTAATATAATAAAATTATTAAATTTATATAATTATAATATCCAAGTTACTTTTTCCTCTCAATTAACAATATATTTTTGATTTGTTAAGATATAGTTTAGTTACTGAAGTCTCTTAAGTTTTGTTAACTTCATATTTTAAATAAAATTAATCATATTTTACAAAAATAATTAATATTAGAAAATAAATCGACTTTAAAATAAGATTACTTTTTTTAAATCATTGGTAATTATTAATTTATTGTTACTGACGATATCTTATTGATATGTAGATATGTTCGTTGTTACGAAAGCATGATATAGAAATTTTGTAACGTATTGACGATATAGAAGTTTTGTAACGCATTGACTGGTGATAAATGAAAGAGCAAAACAGAAATAACGTGCTCTTTGACATACCCACTTTGATAATGATACATAGGCGCCAATTTGTTCTATTTTAGAGATTTGTAATTGGAGAGCGAAACAATACATACTGTATAATAACAATTTAATAAAAAAATTTCATATTAACAAAATTTTATTTACGAGATTATATAATTATTCAATTGCAGACTAAATACTATTAATGAAGGCCGAGTTGCGATCGGTGACATGTCTGGATTTTTACCATGCACTCCAAACGGCTGTATCGAATTAATTAAGAGGTTTGTTACTTATCTCAGTAATTTTAATGTTGCGACGCAAGATGTTTCTTTCATCACTACACGTTAAACTGAGGGTTAAACTGAACATAAAACAACTTTTAGGAGCGGCGTGGCTATTGCCGGTGCTCAAGCCGTTGTTTTGGGACGAAGCAAGATTGTCGGCACTCCGGTTGCCGAGCTGTTGAAGTGGCATAATGCCACTGTAACGGTCTGCCACTCCAAAACAAAGGATCTCTCTGATGTGGTAAGCAATAATTTAAATTCTTTGTACTTGTAAAACAAAAATAAAATAAACAGTTAATTTTATAAAGGTTGTATCATTTTTTTTTTAATTTGTTTCAGGTGCGTCAAGCTGATATTTTAGTAGTTGGCATAGGACAGCCCGAATTAGTTAAGGGTGATTGGATTAAACCAGGTGCCGTTGTCATCGATTGCGGCATCAATCCTATACCAGGTACGCAGTTCCGTTATATTTATAGTATTTATACGACACGTTTGAAAGATAAATTAATCAAATTCAAATTCATGAAAAAATCTATTATTAAAATTAATCTCGGAGAATTCTGTGTAAAAAAAATCTCTAATAATTTTTCAAAAACACCGATATATCGATCATTTTTTATATAATTTTAACACGTTTACATTTCACTATTTTTTTAACCAAAAAATATAAACGCATTGCAGTGACGGTACAAAAAAGCGATATATTAACTATTACAGTTTCCTTTTTTATAAATTTCTTATAAAATAAATATTATACACGTATATTATATAATTTATAGTTATATAATATAAGTTAGGAAATATTTTTGTCTTTTTAGACATGCAAGTGACCAGGGGATTGGAAGTAACTCGTTACTTAATTGTAACGCCGTTACTGTTACAGTTACTTTATTTGGTAACGGATTGATAATGGCGTTATTTTATTTTTTTGGTAACTGTAACAGTAACTTAGTTACATTTTTTCGGTAACAATAACAAATTATACAGTTACTTTTATCGTTACTTTTTGTATTTTGGACTTTCTGTATTTATGATAAAATTTTCGTATGTATGTTCAATCTTCAGTTTTTAGTTAGTATTCACATAGTTTACTCTTATTTTAAGACTGTTTTAAATAATGTCTTAAAATATTAATATGGCTCTGTGATTGGTTTATGACATCTCAAGAATGCCATAAGTCAATCAATATCACAAATTAAAAGATCGGAAGAGCACAC